CCATCTTGCCCCGCCTCTCCTGGTTGGTTTTTAAAAACTGAGTCTGAGCTATTTGATTTTGAAGAATCACTATCTTTTTTATTCTTCCTTCCTTTTTTAATCAACCTTGCCTCTAGAATATGATTAACTAGGTCCTGCTAGGAGAAGACATTTGTGTGGATGGCTTTTTTACCTTGTTTTTATGGTGTGGGCCCAGTTGTCAGTGTTGGTCACCTTTATAAAGTGACTCCATGCGTTGAATTAAAGGGAAAACCTGTGCATTTCTTATACTGTAACTGTCTTCTGATTCCTGCAGGGCCAGTACTCCCATTTGGTGTTGCTGGCAGCATTTGATTGTATTGATGACACTAAGCTCGTGAAGCAGATAATCATATCGGTAAGTAATGAAGATGGTCATGGATTCAGGTTCAGTTTGGTGTGCCTGTTGTGGATGTGTACGCTTGATTTCACAGGTATGTGAATACAAAGACTGTCACGTATGCTTCCCACCTAGTATTTTCTGTTATTTTGTTAGTTGTGTCAACTGAGTTTTATTTTGGGAGGGTGCTTTATTCTTGTATAGACCATAATGTTATTATAACTTGGTGTTGGTAATTTTTTAACTATTTAAAAGACTGTAGTTAAACTATGACTTTACATTAGGTTAGGATAACCTGGCTCTCTGCCCTGAACAATGGATTTTTAAAAACTATTTGTCAGCACTGTCCACAAACCCTTTATATTAAATACTGAACCACATTGTTCTGAAAGGTGTTTCTGGTATCTTTCAGGTCACTTCCATATATATTGTGTTCAGTGTGACCATTTATTTAAAAAGTGCTCAGTTAGACAGTCCAGCCCTACTTTGGTGGATCATTTCTCTGTTTTGACTTAAAAATCATAAGGTTGTGCTTCTGTATAAAGTTTGTACATTTAGCAATGTGAAATCCTGACACATTAAAAAACAAAAATGAACTGAAAACTTGGAATCCTTTTGATTGATGCTCAGAAGATAGTCCATCAGTGCCAGGAACTGGTCCAGAACGAAGCCAGTGTCCCATCAGGATGTCACACAGCATCAGTGGCTTAGCCTGAGTTGGCATCCTCCAGCCTAAGACCATGTCAGTTCAGTCTGCAGTATTGGGAAGGAAGGGCATGTTGGCCTCCCCCCAACAGACCTCCCTCAGCTCAGGAACCAGTTCCTCTGGTGACTTTTTTCTCCACAGCAGGCAGGTAGTTTTCTTTATCTCCAACTCCCTGAGACTATCACCCTGAGATACTTTTTAAACCTTGACTCTAAACTATCCCCTGAGGTCACTGACCTTTCAGCAGAATAACAGATAGACATACAAAATAAAGGTTGTTAACCTGTGAGTACAGCGATCCAGTGAAAAGCCATCTACATAATACCAAAAGGTCAACAATGACTCTAAAGCAAAGAAGAGAAGACAAAGGGGAAACTAGAGCACTGGAAACAGACCAACCAGAATGCAATGAAAGAGAACATTGACCCATTGTGAGAGATGTAATTGACGTCACTGAACGATTTGTATGGAAATTGTAAATGAGAGCCTAATTTGCTGTGTAAACTCTCACTGAAAACACAATAAGATAGTATTTGAAAAAATTACATTTCAACAATTCCTTCTAGCCTGATCTAATGACCATATAAAGCAGTAATCCTTGGATCCAGTTTCTCTAACCTCAAAATTGCCTTCAGAAAAATTGGGTCATCTTCTTGGAGAAACTACTCCAAAGTCAAGTGACATCTGAAATACTTCTCTCACTGTGCACTGACCCTTGTTCTGACTCTGGTTCTGTCCCTCTCTCCTCGCCTCTTCCTGTATTTAGTATACAAGTGGTATTAGGTATATGATACGGGCTGCAGGGCTGGGGATGCGAAATTGCCATATGGATCACATAGAGCCAAGTTTTTTTGTTGTTGAAAACCACATCATCCATATGGACATAAATTCTTCATCTGAACATTCCAAGACCTGTCTATTTGACCAATGGGTGGTGCCCTCAAAGAACCTTCATGGCAGAGTGAGCTTTCACACCATCCACATTTCTGATCCAGAAAGAAACTTTACCTGGTGGCACATGGTCTTGCTGTGGCCTGACTGGCCTGACTGGACCAGCACAGGTAGTGGTGGGAAGAAGCTTTGTTTTCTTTGAAGGCATCTGCAGGTCCCGGCACCTACATCTCTCATGCCCTGACTGTCTTTTTCCAGCTTTGCCAGTGAGTGTTCTAAAATGGTGGTGACTTTGCTTGAAATAGACTTGTGGGAAGAATCCATTTGGCAAGACTTTCATGGCACCAACTGAGTGTTTTGACATGTTCCCAGTGACTTTATTACCCTTTGACTCCAATCAATAATGATTGTTTTTCATTCTTGTGACAGATGGGAGCCCATAGAATTGGCTAATGAATAAAGTTGTTTCATGAAATTGGAAACTGGCCGGGACCATTGAAAGTTTGCTTTTGTTTCATATTTCCACTGCAAATAAAATTTGCGTGACTGTGCCAAGTGGGTTTCTAGAGAAGCCATGCTTCCTTCAAGGTTTGTCACGATGGTGTGTGAGGTTAATTTTTTATAAAATTGATTCCCTGTGAATCAGTTATGCATTATAGCATTATAGCTCCTTGTGCACAGCTCTGCTTATCAGTTCAGTTCCCATAACTCCTTCACCCGCATTCTCATGACTTTTGGGACCGAGGGTCGACTTGCTGACCTCCTGCCTCTGACTGACAAGTGCTCACCAGGTTCTGCAGATCATTCAACTGTGGAGCTCATGCAATAATTCTGGAATGTAGATTGTTCTTGCATTTTTTCTCACCCACTTACCATGAAGCCTGTTGCAGATTGCATGTTGTTTTTTTTTTTTTTAAATAACCCAGAAAGCTTAAGTGTTGCTAAGCTTTCTGTTCAGGGGAATGCAGTTTCCTGAAATGTCAAGTTGAAATTCCAGCCCAGTCAGCTGAGCCCTTCACTTTTGAAAACGAGCACGCACTGTTTCCCACCAACTTTACATTCCGAAGTAAACAGAATATTTGATCTGTTTTACCCTGAAATTGTTGGTGTGGGTACCTGGTTTGACACCAGTGTTCCTCTTGAAAGGAAATAAATCCACTAACCAGTTGTCAAGGAGCCCTGCTGGTGCAATGGTTAAATACTTGGCTACCACCTGAAAAATTGGTGGTTCAAACCCACCAGCAGCTTCTAGGGAGAAAAACCAGTTGCCGTTTGAGGACAAATAAATATTGGTACATATTTTTAAATACTATTTTTACAATGCATAGAAATGTATGACTGCTGCAGTGAGTGAACACCCGGCTTCCCACACAAATCTGACATAAGAACTAAAACCTGACACAGTTCAAGTTCAAGTGCCCTTTATGTACCTACCCCTCATCACGTATCCTGCCTCCATGCCGCAGCCACTGTGCTAGGTTTGGTATTTATTATCCACTGGCACTTCCTTTCTCACTGTATGTTATGTGTGCAGTATTTTGCACATACGTAAGTTTTGTGTAAGTGTGATGTTGTATGGTTTCTTCTTCACCTTACATTTTCCTTTTGGTATTATGTTTGTGAGACTTGTCATTGGGTAGACAGATCTCTTTTGTAAAGATAATGAATACATTAGGCCTTGGTGGCTGTATAAAGGAGCCTGGTGGCACAGTTACAAAGTGCTCAGCTGCTAATTAGAAGGTCAGTGGTTTGAAGCCACGAGCTGTTCTGTGGGACAAAGATGGGGCAGTCTGCTTCCATAAAGATATACAGCCTTGGAAGCCCTATGGGGCAGTTCTGCTGTGTCCTCTAGGTCACTCTGAGTCGGAATTAACTCAGTGGCAGTGGGTTTGGGTTGGCTGTATATTACCTATATTATATAGTTGTGTTAGTTTTGTTTTTTTCACAACCCTTAAAAAACACAAAAAACATTCTTTGCTCACAGAATATGCAGAAACAGGCCACAGACTGGATTTGCTCCATAGACCATGGTGTGCCAAATACTCTATACAAAACCAAAAAATAATAATAATTAGCCTAATAAGCCCCTTGCCATTGTGCTGATTCAGAATCGTGGCACCCCCATGCATTTCAGAGTAGAACTAAGCTCCATAGGGTTTTCTTGGCTTTCATCCTTATGGAAATAGTTCGCCAGGCCTTTCTTCCACGGGGCCTCTGGGTGGGTTCAGATTGCTAACCTTTAGGTTAGCAGCCAGTTGTAAACCACTTGAGCCACCCAGGCTCCTTTCTCCTGTGTAAGTATGCCACAGTTTACTTTTCCATTTTCCTGTTGATGGACATCTTGCTTGTTTATGGTTTAAAACTGATTTTTAATTATTCGTCTACTCCAGATAGTTTCGTGAGGGTTTCTGCTCCCTGTCTCCTCGTGCATACTGCATTCCTTGTGGCATCCACTTGATGGTAGATGACCAGGCCTCACGTGGGCTGACTGGTAGCGTGGAGTCAAGCGGGCACGTTTCCTTTCCAGCCACTACAGACCTGTTTACAGACCCGCTGCATTGGACAGTGCTTTTAAAACAGCTGAGAAAATGCCATGCTTCTAAGAGTTCTGTTCAGAGTAGCTGCGTTTCCTGGAACAGAAGGTTGAAATCGTAGCTTGGTGAACACTCTTCCTTTCTTTATATTTTTAAGCCAAACTCCATTTCGTTCTCCATGTAGCATTCTCTGATATCCCAACTGGACCTGGTCTCCTATTCTTGCAAATCCTGTAGTTGTTGGCTTTACCGTCCATTCACTTAGTGGTTCTTCATGAGTTGACCCATTGTAGTAGTGAAGGTTATATGTCATCTTGACTGGGACTGGTTTTGAGTGGCGGGGCAGTTGGTGGTGGTTATTCCCCATGATAAGAGTGGGAATCAGATCTGTGGTGGAATCTGCCATGAGCAGCTAACTAGCTGCTTTAGGAATGTGGTCTGCTTTCTGTATATAAGGAGATGCTTTGGGAATGGTCTGCAGCTTTTGGCATGCTTCAATCCTGCATGTAGCCAAGTCATTATTGCCATGTTGCCTTCTGATCTTAGGACTGTTAATAGGACTTGAATCAATGGTCTGCCATGTGGTTTGGGACTGTGCCATTTTACTTGTCGACCTTGGGCTTCTTAGCCTCAGCAGCCAACAGCTGCCTGCGTGAAGAGAGGCCTTTAGCTTCAGTGGGCCAGGAGCAGGGGCAGAGCTGAAACCCAAGGTCAAGGGACCTTCACCCAGCCAGCCCCTAGAGCCTTGCGCTTTGAGCTCACACTTCTAGCCTTCAAAACTATAAGAGAATAAACTCCTGTTTGTTAAAGCCATCCCATTTGTGGTATAGTCTTATCAGAGTGGCACTAGGTAACCGAAACACCCATGGAGTCTCCAGTGAGTGCAAATGGTAAACTCATTCAGCTGGTTAGTGGTTTGAGTCCACTCAGAGGCACACTGGAAGAAAGTCCTGGCGATCTACTTCTGAATGGCCACAGCCACTGAAAACCCTGTGGAACGTAGTTCTACTCTGCCATAGGGTCACCATGAGTCAGAATCAGCTGTGCGGCAGCTGATTGTCTTTGTGGTCTGACCCAGGCCTTGCAGACTCAGAGGTGCTCATGAGCCAGCAGGGAGGTGAGTGAGGTAGGCCAGTTGTGCACAGGGGACTGTGTGAATGGAATGAGCACATACCTGGACCAAGGTCATGGCCACCGCTCAGCCCCGCCTTGGGAATGTGGGCTCCATGTTCATAGGCCTTCAGGCTTCAAGTGCAGCTCAGAAGGTGGATTTTGGAGTGAAGCCATCTGTTTTTTAAAACAACTCCAGAGGCTGGTGGTCACTGCTACTCTGTGACTAATGATGCAGAAGGAAGGTTACTCTCCAAACTTGTGTTACAATCTGTCATTTAAATCTGTTATTTTTAACTTTTTATTAAGTATGTCTTATCTCTTCCACTAGATTTTAGTGCCTTAAAGTTAAGGGCAGTCTGCATTTCTTCATGTCCCTACACACCGCCTACCATGGAAGTGTGCACCATGGCCCAGTTCTCTGTGTGTGTGTGTGTGTGTGTGCGCGCGCGCGCGCTGCTGCTGCTTGCATTTCTGCACTCCACCCGCAGCTCACACTTGCACTCCGACCCTGCTTCCTGTGTGCACCTTTGACTTTGGCCTTTTACCTTTCCTTTATAAAAGGGTTGGCCAAAGAAGAGTGCCAGGAATCTGGCTGGGATCAACACCAGGTCAGAGCTAGTCTGCAGAAGGGAAGTCATTTGCCCTCTGTGCTTTGTCATCTGTTCCCCTGCTGCTTCAGAGCAAGAAAAAACTGGAACAAAGTGGCTTTCCCATGCTTCTTTCTAAGATGACTCTGGTAGGGAAAACGTGAAGCAGACCACCTTTGATATTGGTATTCACTTTTGCTCAGGTCCATGATCCAGCAGCTCTGTTTACTCTCAGTTGTTAAGGAAGCTGTATACTGAGAGGCATGTTCTCAGTTCGACAATACTTCACAGCAGTTTACAGTTTGCACTGTGAGTTTTCTGATTTGCACCTGGTAATAGCCCATCGGTCCAATACCTGTTTCCTGTTACATATAAGGGAATTGATGGCAACCCCATGTGTGCAGAGTAGAATTGCTCCATAGGATTTTCAAGGCTGTGACCTTTCAGTAGCGGCTCTCCAGGCCTCACTGCCAAGGTGCCTGTGGGTGGATTTGCCTGTCAGCCTTTGGGTCGGCTGGTAATTCAGGCATGTCCGTTAGTGCCACCTAGGATCCAGTGCACCAGGAAGGTAAAGGCTTTGCCAAAGTCTGGGCAGCTTGAACTCATGACTCCAGAGACCAGAGTCAGCCCAAAGTGAACTATACCACAGCCTCCTTTGGCCAGTTCTACATGTTAGTTACATTGTCATTGTTAGTACTCACCAAGCAATAGTCTAGGAATCTCCCTCCCCTTTTCTTAGGTTACAGAGAGCCCACTTTGGGGATCATTCACCTTGGGATTACAAAAGAGCTCCCTGCCCTGTAAATTCTTTACATACTGTTTTGCTGTCTTCCCTTTGGTTAGTGACATTTAAGTTTATGGTCCTCGGGGTGGTCTACATGATACGTTCTCTTTGAAGTGGTCAGATCTATTGCATCTGTTCTCTCTGTCCTTAACATTTGTGTCGAAATCTTTATACTCTGACCCTAAGCTTCTGAAGTTTAGTTTCAGGCATCGTGGAAAGGGAAGAGCATGTCTTGGCTGTGCTGCGTTTTGGATGAATGACCTTGGACAAGTCACTTTCTTTGTCTGAGCCTCATGTTTATCTGTAAAATGGATAACAGTAGTGCCTACCTCATGATGTCATGAAGATTTCAGACAATCGATGTACAGTTGTCACCATAGTGCCTGGCTTTTAGGAGGTACTTACAACACGTTAGCTACTGTTATAGTATGTTATTAGCTGCCATCAGGTCAGCTACCAACTCATGCGACCCATCACAACAAGGATACGCTGCCTTGTCCTGTACTATCCCTGTGATTGGATGAGGATCGAAACATGGGATCCAAAGAATGTTCACTGAGTTTTAGAAGTAGGTTGTCAGTTCCTAATTTTAATTCCTTATTATTAGTACAATTCTGTGCAAACAAAATAGGAAACCTGGGGTTTTAAAAAGAAGAAATAGGTACAGTGTAAAACCTCCACCTACTGCCATCAGGTTGATTCATAGTGACCCTATAGGACGGAGTAGACCTGCCCCACGGGGTTTCTAAGCCTGTAATCTTTATGAAGGCAGACTGCCTCATCTTTCTCCCACAGAATAGCTGGTGGGTTCCAATCACTGACCTTTTTGGTTAGCAGCTGAATGTACTGCCACCAGAGGTCCTATGTAGAATCTAGAGTTGCCTGTATTACTTGTCAGTCCCGTGCTTGATGACTGACAATTTTTAGTTTGGTTCCTTGGATGAAAATTACTAATCTTGTAATAAATGGGCACTTACAACAATAAAGAGATCCCTGGTGGTTCAGTGGTTAAGTGCTCAGCTACTAACAAAAAGGCTGGCAGTTTGAACCCACTAACCACTCTGTGGGAGAACGGTGTGGCAGTCTGCTTCCGTAAAGATGGTATAGCCTTGAAAACCCTATGGGGCAGTTCTACGCTGTCATATGGGTTCACTATCAGTAGGGATCAACTCAATTGCAATGAATTTTAATAGGTTTATGAGAATAGCAAATCCAAGTGTATCATCTAGAGCATTCTTTTCCAGAGGAAGGTCTGTGCTTTACTTGGAAGAGCCTGGATTTAGAATCTGGGATCAGGACTGGTCAGAGGGAGCTCTGCCGCTGATACTCTTCATCCTCGGGCAAGTTGCCTCTTCCCTTTCTGGATCCTTTGTCCAAACTTACGGAGGTGGACTCAACTCTTTCTGTGACCCTGTTAGTTAGCATCGAGTCAGTTCTGACTCAGAGTGACCCCATGTGTACAGAGTAGACCTACCCCATATGGTTTTCAAGCTATGGCATTTTAGAAGCTGACTGCCAGGCTTTGTCTTCCCAAGGTACCCTCTGGGTGGATTTGAACCACCAGCCTTTTGGGTAGTAATTGAATGCTTAACCATTTATACCACCCAGGGCCTCTACTAGCCAGCTCTAAGAATCTGTGCTGCTCAAGCATTCATGCATTTGAATACCTACAATGTTTGTGATAAGAAATAAGAGTGCTGTTGTTGTTAGTTACCTTTGAGTTGCTCCAACTCAGCATGACCTTATGTTAACAGAATGAAACCTTGACCCTGTCCTACGCCATCTTCATGATCCTTTGTGGTGGCCACAGTGCCGGCCCATCCCATGGAGGGTCCTTTCCTTTACCACATACAATGTGCTTTCCTAGCGATTAGTCTTTCCTGATGACATTCCCTGTTTGCTGCAGAATAGGGATGTTATAGAAGAATAAAACAAAACGGCGATTTTTCTGTTGCGTTTTCATTATTAAGAATAAAGGAATTTTTAAGCAGTGACTTTCTGTTCTTGAAAACATCAGCTAATTTACATGGAGCCTGGTTGGGGAAGACATTGCCATTGTCACTTAAATCCACACAAATAACGAGGCTACTGTTCCTGAGTGTGTTGATTGAAAGTGTCGTACAGCATCATTGGGAACTACTCAGTGGCGTCTTTCTGAGTTTGCCTCCCCTTCCCCCCTCTGCTTTTGTTTTTTGGTACAAGTCTTGAACAGCCTGCATTGGCCATGAATGAGCACCCTAACTTTGAAAGCCTTTCTTTGCTTGTTCTGTTTCACAGAGTTTCTTTATTTCGCTTCACATACATCTCAGTAGGAAAATTCTGAGAGGAATGTTCTTCACTGCCTGGTGCTATGTTTAAGTACAGCTGCAGATTAACTGTATTTTCCCAGTGACCCCAGCAAGCAGTGTCCTAAGAAATACTTGTCATCATGAATGAAGATAACTCCTTTAAATGTTTTGTTAAGTTCATGGGCTTGGTCAGTTAAATATAAATGGATTGCTCAGTAATGCTTGTCACAGAATGGAATGGATCCTGGATTCCAAGTGGAAGTCCGTCCAGGCTCTAATGAGAGGATCTCTGGACAGCTCCACGTTTCCCAGAAGGCACACTGGGGCAGACAGTTAAGGATGTATGTGTCTACTCCAGCCCCAGACATTCTTCACTGTAAGAATGTAGGTATAGGTTACTTTCTTCTTTCTGTCCTTTTCCAGGAAATTATCAGTTCCTTGCCAAACATAGTAAATGACAAATATGGAAGGAAGGTCCTGTTGTATTTGCTGAGCCCCAGAGATCCTGCACATACAGTGCGAGAAATCATCGAAGTTCTGCGAAAAGGAGACGGAAATGCTCACAGGTGACAGCAGGTCGAGTGGCCCGAGCCCTGTGCCCCTCTGCTCTGATGCCCATTAGTGATACTCCAGATAGCCATTGTCTGTCTCTCTCCCTCTCCTCACCAAAACATATCAAAAGGTGAATTCCATAGCGCCTGGTGCATACACACTCAGTTCAATTTTGTTTGTTTTTATTTTTAAAACTACTGGTAACAATAAAACCAAACCCACTGCCATCAAGTAGAACTGCCTCATCGGGTTTCCAAGGCTGTAAATCTTTACGGAAGCAGACTACCATATCTTTTTGCCACAGAGCAGCTGGTGGGTTCGAACCACTGATCCTTCAGTCAGCACTGGTACTGTGTATTAATGCCCTAGAGAGAAGAGTTTATCAAGTATTCTGAACATGGGATTTTTTGTATTTGGATTGGTCTATTTTGTTTTGATTTACATACGGCAAGCTTCATGTATTTAGTGGGTGCTCTGTGCCAGGCACTATTCAGATCCTAAGGGCACAAAGGTGAAAGATCCTACCCTCAAATCACTCGTCATCTGCATTGAGAGCAGAAAGGCAGACAATGAAAAGGGAATGTGACACAGGCTGTAACAAACTCATGGAGGTTTTTGTGATAATGAACCCATAAAGCCATTGCCATCGAGTCTGTTCTGACTCACTACCCATATGGGAACTGCCCTATAGAGTTTCCAAGACTGTAATCTTTGTGGAAGCAGACTGCCACATCTTTCTCCTGCAGAGCAGCTGGTAGGTTCATACTGCTAACCTTCTAATTACCAACCTAATGCTTAACCTCTGGGCCACCAGGGCTCTTTTTTGTGATAGTAATACCACTGTCTGTGCCATTTCTTTCCCTTTAATACCACATTCACCATGTTCTGACAGTAAGAAGGACACTGCGATCCGCCGGCGTGAGCTCTTGGAGACCATCTCCCCAGCTTTGTTAAGCTACCTGGAAGGACACACCCAAGAGATGGTGCTGGACAAGTCTATGTGTGTGCTGGTGACCAGCATCCTGGGATCTGCCCTTGGAGATACCCAGCCTGCCATGAATGCCATCGCCAGCTTGGCAGCAGGCGAGCTACATCCTGGTGGCTGGGATGGAGAGGTAACTATAAAAGATAGGCCGGAGAGCTGCCCTGCCTGGTCTGTCCCCAGTCAGTGAGAACATGGCCCCAGAGGTTGATGGTGGTCTCAAAGCACACCTCTTTCCAGCAGTATGTTTGGAAATTGTGGCTTCAGAACACTATGCTATGGCAACACTGTCTCTCTCAAAAATTTGCAGTGGCTCCACGTTGCCTCTAAAGTAAAACCAGAACCTCTTACTCTGTTTCTTTGTTGCCCATGGCTGGCCCTAGGCTGTCTTTCCAGCATACTGTTCCTCAGTGCTCTTAGCTTCATTTTTAATTCACTGTGGACTTCTGTACTTTTGCATTTGCCCATGCTTCTCCCCTATGCCTGTTTCACCATTTCCCTGCATATAGAAAGCTTTGCTCCTCCTCAGAGTCCCCAGAAATCCTTCTCCATGAAGCTATTTCTGATTTCTCCTCATTCAAAATACTTGCTACTTCTCATCACTGCTTTCTATGTTATTTGGGCCACCTCTTATTCCACCTCATATCTTGAATTTGTTGCTTTATGTACCTGCTTTCATGCTTGACAGTTGACCAATACAGCCGCACCTCAAAGGGTAACATCTTTGGAGGACACAGTCTTTAAGTAAATTTTTACACAAAGAATTATTGACATTAGGATGGAGATAAGCAATCTGAGGGAAAAGTGTAGGCTCTGTGAGGTTGTAGAAGCAAGGGAGCCAGCCTGTCCCCAGAGGACTAGGAAGAATGATGGAAAGAAGGTTCTGGGCAGAGGAAATGGCATGTGCAGCAGCCCTGAGGTAGGGGGAGCTGGGTATATCTAGGAAGAGCAGGCTCTGGAGCGAAGGAAGAGAAGGACAGGCCACTCCTGTGCAGCCTTATGCCCCGTGCCCTCTGAGCTCCTGCTTTCAGAGGCTCGCTCTTCATCCTTGTTTCTAACAACATCCGCTCCTTATTGTCCCCATTACTGCAGTCGAGGAATGGGTATTTATACAAGCTTACTGCCTTTCATTAATTTCCCCAAAAATGCAGAGAGGAGGTGCAAGGTCCGCACTCTTACAGAGCTGGAAACCCACTGGGGAGACATGACTTTACAGTCCACAGTAATGACTCATATTCAGATCATGCTGGGAACTGAGTGGTAATATCTGAAGTGAGTCTAAATTTAGAGACACCTAACTGTGTCTCTGTGGGCAGTCATATACTGAAGAAGCCTTTGACTGCTGATAATAGATGACCTGATAGTACTAGTCAAGACATCTTATTACCATGAGAAAACGGGTGGTAACAGTTGCACTGTGATGTCCTCACCCTGGCAGCTTCAGCTTCCCTGCTCCATTGTCTTTGGGGTGATTTTGCATATGGTCACATGCTGACTTCTTGGTGTCTGGCATCACATCCCCACAGCAGTGTGTCAAATAAGTGGACGAGAACTACAGCAAAAGCTTCCTCCTCCTGTGATTAAGAAGATGACCTCTTATGTTTTGTTGGTCAGAATTGAGTTGCGTGTGCCCTCCTGAACCAGTCTCTGGCAGAAGCAGTGGTTCCCCAGGACTAGTTGAGGCTAGTTAGGATGTTATCCCCTGGGGTTGGGGGGAGGACCCTTAGAAATGAATGGAAAATGCAGTGGAGAATGTAGAGGTCCACAGGGAGGAAAGCTGGGGGAGACAGGTACCTGTTGATTAAAAACTCTGTTGTCCACAGAGTAGAAGACAGGACATCTGGGTCACAGCCTGGTGCTTGGAAATGCTTTGTGCAGGTGCATTTGAATCTGAGTGAAATCAGGCCCAAGGTGTTCCTGACATGCAGGATGGGGAGAAAGAAGGGGGCTGTGGGTCTCGGAGCAGCTCACATGAGTAAATCAGAAAGGTGCAGGCAGAGTGACCTTGCCCTGTGAGGCGACTGAGTCCGTTGCTTCCTGGGCTTGAAAAGCAGCCACCCTAGGCTCTGTGGAGCCGGTGGCAAGGCCTTAGAAAATGGTGTGGTTGAGCAGAGGAGATGCTGTCTCGGCTTGCTTATCAGATGATACCCTTGTCACATAGCCACATGTACTGAAATATCCTGGGGGTCTTAGGTCTGCTGTAGCATTCTAGCTCTTGGAGGCTGATATGTACTCCTCAGCTGTGTATGGCAGCCTTCATGTGGTAGCATGATTGTGGGGTGCATGTGGCAGTCATGTTCACACTGCACCTTGGGAAGGTTTGTACAAACTGCATTCAGGGGCTACCGTGAAGAGCCAGCTGTGTCTTGTCTGGCGACCCTCCAGCTGTGATGGTCAGTTTAGATCAAGGCCTCCTAAACCTTGTGGAACTTTAGCTGTGACTGGGTCCTTACCTGTACATGGTGCAGAGAGGGCTGTTGGGCAGGTCACAGGGGCAAGCAGCTTTTTTGAGTTAACATCTGTTCTTGACCTTGATGTGTTCTTGCAGCTTCACATTGCAGAACATCCTGCAGGGCATCTCGTTCTGAAGTGGCTCATAGAGCAAGACGGAAAGATGAAAGAGAGTGGAAGAGAAGGTAGGCTGTGGAACCAGACATTTCCTTGTGTAAGATGTGGAATTTCAGTAACACCTGGCTTCCCTGAGCTGTATGCTGGCCCTTTGAGTTCAAATGAAAGTTTGTCGAGTGTTCAGAAATGATGTCTGTGAATAAGTGTTCAGTAGCAAACAGTGCTTTATCCCTTTGCAAAAGATGTCCTGGAATGCTTTATTTTCTTCCTTTTTTCCACCCTTCCTCTCTCTTCTTCCTCTGCTACTTCAGATCTCTGACCAGGCTTGGCCAGTGACCTAAACTGCCATTGTACCATATCCTTGGGGATGGAGTCCCTGGGTGAAACAATTGGTTAATGCCCTGAGCTGCTAACCAAAAGATTGGTGGTTCGAATTCACCCAGAAGTGCCTTGGAAGAAAGTCCAGATAATCTACTTCTGAAAAATTAGCCCTGAAAACCCTGGGCAGCACTGTTCTCTGACAGACATGAGGTTGCTAGGAGTTGAGGCTAACTGATCTGCAACTGAAAGACAAAAACTCCCTGGGGCTGTTGAGGGGAGGGTTGGGGAGGCCTAGCTGAAGGTATCATTTGCTCAGTTGAAAGGCATAATCTCTGTTTCTGGTTTGGAGAAAAGGATAAACAGAAGAAAACTATCCTCGTCAGAGAGTTTTGGACTAGTGCCTGTTCATTTGACCTTGAAATACATGTAGTCAAGGAATAAGCCTGTCCGTGGTGCATTCTCATGTTCTATAAAACATACAGCTGCTCTGTGGAAACTCGGCTGTCAGGAGGGACAGCACCTTTTATCTATCTCCTTGAAGAGTTGCGTACTGTTGCCTTACTGTCCTGAATTCAAACTATGTCTGGTCATTTGGCCACAGAGGAGACTTTCCCCCATGGAGTCTAAACAGCAAGGGCTTTCTGTTGTCATGTCTGGAAAAGATGACAGACCGTGAATTTATGTCTTGAGGCGAGTTGCCGTTCTCATGGCCGATGAGGTCATCCATAAAGCAGTAGAGCTGTCACTTCTTGGCCTAACTTTAAGAATAGGAACTTGGAGCTGTTTTTCCGCTGTTAATTTTGGATGAAAAATGAAGCTTCTTATAATAAATATTGGAAAAAAAAAAAAAAACACTGATGTATTGGATCATCTTTCCCATCACTAAAAAGTTGGTATGTACTTGAGCTGAGTTTATTTCAAAACGTTTGCTTGGCTCACTCTTCAAGTTCATAGAAATTTCCAGTGATTTTTTTTCCTCTTTCTTAATTAAAATGTGTCGACAGACCTAAGACAGGCCTGTTTGAGCCTGACGGCTTTGTCGTTTTCATGTAGCACTGAATGAATATGTCTAGCTGTTTTGGTTATCTGCTGTTGGGTAATGTTTTGGTTACCTCTCAGGCCACTCTAACAGATATATACCACAACTGCGTGGCTTGAACAAACAGGAATTTATTCTCTTACATTTTGGCGGCTAGACGCCTGAGTTCAAAGTGTCAGGCTGTAGGGGCTGGGTGGGCTTCAGCTCTGCCTCTTGCTCCCAGCCCACTAAAGTTGGAGGTTTTCTTTCCTCGGGCAGCTGCTGAGGCTGACAATTCCAAGGTCAACAGGTAAAAAGGCACAGTTCCAATATTACCAAACCACACTAGTTCAAGTCCACTAATTCAAGTCCAGAAAAAGTCCCGAGATCGTCAGAGCATGACAGGCTACGGAATGAAGATGCAGCTCTATGCAGGATCCAAGTGTGCCAAAAAGCTGCAGAACGTTCCTAAAACGTCTCCTTATATACTGGGGGCAGACCATATCCCCAAGGCAGGTACTCAGCTGCACCCAGTAAATTCCACCATGGAGCTGATTACCAGTCTCATCCTGGGGAATACTACATCCAGCTGCCAAGCCACTCAAAACCAGGCCCACAAGTTGACACACAAACTTAACTACCATAAGTAACAAGCCACCTCAAAACTTAATAGTTTGAAAAATAAATCTCTGGGTATAAGCTTGGTGGAGCTTGTCTCTGCAGTCATCTGGGGCTGCTCATGTGGCTGGCAAGTTGGTAGTGGGAGCCAGCAGCCTCAGTACCTCTTTGTAGGTGGCTTGGGCTTCCTCACAACGTGGTGGTGACTCAATGCCAAGAGCAAGCATCCCGAGAGAACAAGGAAGATGCACAGTGCCTCCATTATTTAGCCTCAGAAGTCTTATGTCATTTCTGCCATACTCTCATGATCGAGTTGTTCACAAAGATAGTATTCTAAAAGAACACACAGGACAGGAGATGATGTTTTGGTCATCTCTGGAAAATAGAATGTGCCTCTGTAGCTAAGTAATGTCACTCTTTAGCAGGTGCCATGAAAGACTGATCAGCCACAGGCCTCTTTTAAAAGGTTCTTACATCTGGGTCTATGCTTTTCATCCCCACTGCTTCCCAAATCACCTGTAAAGGCAAAATAGGCTTATTTGGATTTTTTTTTTCCTTGAAGGGGGGCTATTTTATATCTTTGAATGACTTGACTTAGACATACTACCTAACATAAGAAAAGCAAAAGCTTTGCCTTCCAGCTAGGTTGTCCCTACCTTCATCTGCGTTAAATCCCAGCCTTCAGAATTTCTCTTTTGCCTAAGAATTACTTGACCTGGATGGCACAGTAGGTAAGAGAATATATGAAGTCCGTGAGCATCAGAAGTATAGGCAGTCTTTGATGTACGACATAACCTATTCAAGTTACAACAAACTACACTTACAACCATCTGTTTTTTGGGGTCTTTGGTACATTTTATTGTTAGTAATATGTGCTATATAGCATTGTAACGTGTCAGAACTGACTTAGGATGGAGTTGTTGGACTTCATCGTAAGTCAGAGACTACTTATACTATAATGGCAGAAGGAGAAAGGTATTTTTGATGGGAAGATGTTCAGTGTTATAGAGAGGCGCAAGCTATAACAGTCATTTTTGGGCCACTAGTTGTGTTTGTGGCACCTTCCTGCTAAGCACTGCCCCATGAGTGAAACTCCTTCTAAACCAGACAGGGTGTTGCTGTCCCATGATCACTTCCTGAGCAGCGGTCAGCCAGGGCCGAGTTGTTATGTAGCATCGAGAGGTATGTCCATGACCAACTGTGGGTTATAAGAACTCATTGTTTCTCTTGAGTGTTTACCTCTGAACATAGCTTAGGATTTGAATCAGAGTTGAAAGAAACATCTTTGTTTAAAGTTTTTGTCACTGAATTGTAGATGTAGAAATTGTTGGGATAGTATACATTTTGTTATATATCTTTTCACCACAGTTATTCAAAGTGCATTATTTAAAACTGCACTGGAGTTTGTAATGTTAAGAGATTGGGTGAGAACTTTTGTTACCTTTTTTATGAACACGCAGCTGCAGGCTTATGGCACAGGAAAGGTTGGGATTCATATCTGTGTGTGAAGCTCATTAAGATCCTCTGTGTTTTGCAGGTTGTTTTGCAAAAATACTTGTAGAACATGTTGGGATGAAGAACCTGAAGTCCTGGGCTGGCATAAATCGGGGCGCCATTATCCTCTCCAGGTATGCACACCTTGTGCCTTTCTCTGCTCAAGAATCCTCACATCTTTCTTAGTTCTGATACTGCTCCCAGAGTTCCACTGTCAGTTGGTTGCTCACAGTCTCAACCAGTGCACTACACGTTAAAAAGGAAATGTAACTCTTGCTATAATTCCTTAACAGTGATTTCAACTTCCCTTTTTTGGATGTAAAAAAAAAAAAAAAAGCCAAACTCACAGCTGTCGATCGATTAGACTCATAGTGACTCCTCCATGGGTTTCCCAGGCAGTATCTCTACAGAAGTAGATTGACCAGTCTTCCTTCCGAGGAGTGGCTGGTGGATTTGAACCACCAGCCTTCTGGTTAGCAGTCAAATCATAAAATCAGTGGCAAGGTGTGTCATATGATGTCTTTACCACATTCACGGTTTTAATGAAAACCCAATTGTGTTCTTTTTAGTGACAAAATCTAGCTTCTGTGAAAATGGGGACAAAGTTATTTAAATGTGACTGCCTTTATTTCAGGAGCTCTGGTGGCATAGTGCCTAAGGCATTTCACTTCTAACCAGAAGGAAGGTTGAGCAATGTACTTTTGTAGTGATGCCTCAGAAACCCAAGGAAGGATCACTATGAGTTGAATCTGACTCAACAGTAGTGAGTTTGGTTTGGGTTTTTTTGGTGGGGAGGGCTTTATTTCATTGTTTTTAGCTGTTCTGAATTTTTTCCCTTTAAGGTGGGGAGAAAATATTTGCTACTGAAGTCTACATACTAATTACATATTTCTATTTAAATGACAACTGGTGGTGTGGGAATTGAGGCTTGTGATCAGCTCATCTTTAGTTCTCTGGACACTGTTATATTGAGTTTCTAACAAGGCTTCAAACCAATTTGAATGTTGACTGATGCATTAAAATCAAAATAGACCCAATTTGTAAACTGTAGGTGGACCAGAACAGTGAACAGAACAGGAAAAATTGTGTGTTGAAGCCCTGGAATGGGAGACTCAGAAGAAGTATAGTGAGCCCTTTCAGGAGCCTGATGCAGAAGATTGGATTCTTGTCAGGACTGTGGAGGGTGACACACGTTCAGAGTGGTGAGGCTGGCCACCATCTTTGAGCCAGGCACCGTTGTTTATGACTCTACCGGTGGAGAAAGTTGGTTGCTGTGCATTGTGCATGCTGTCCTTGTTTTCTAAAAGAGAGATTAAGTTTCTAGCAGGGTGTTGGAGTGTTGGCCTATGATTTTTCCTGTTCCAGTACAGCAGATTTTACAGATTCAGGTCCATTCCAGTTTCACTTTGTTGGCCATGCTTGAACCAGAAAGAATGGGTTTGAGGGTTTGAAGCTCTGGTTTGTAATTTACAGATCATTGAGGTTTCCACATACTCTGGGATGAAACCTTTCTGTTAAGGATATTCATTTGGAGTAGATGCATGTGTTGTTTTGAAGCAATCACTGTTGATTTTTTTTTTTTTTTCCTCTGTTGTGTTAGAGGTTTGGAAAAACAGATCTGAATGCTAGTTTGAATTTTCCAGTCTTTCGCATGCACATTAAATGCTATGCAATTTAATCTGTATTGTCTGTAAATGTTGAGTTACATGTTTCTTTAGCACGTAATTTGATCTGGTACATGTATGCTCCCACACATACCACCAGGCACATGTTTCTTCAGGTACACCTCTGTCCCCAAAAGTATGGGTAAAACAGATCATTTTTTTCATTTCTCATTACAATTAGTTAATTTTCCAGTTACTGTTGAATAGCCAGAATCCATTAGCTGAAACGTGAGCTTTTTTGATATGAATTTATTTACCAGGCATTTGAAGTGTGAACACCTACTAATGCATTCTTTCATTAGATTCAATTAACTAGAAATTTCAGTGATGCCATCAAATTAACTTATATAGATTGCTCATCAATCAGAGCTCCCCATGGGTGGATTTCACATGTTGGAGGAAACTACTCTGGGTTTACAAGGAAGCATTACTTCCCATGGAAATATTTGAGGATCTGGAGGGAAGTTGAACTGAGATAACTTAACAATTGATTAACACAAGAATGTTTTCTTTGTTTTTTGTTTTGGAATATTATAATATGCTTAACTCATTTGGTAAAAATTTCTTAATTCTTTATGCTTTATTTAAAACATGTATACTTTTTTTTTTTTTTTTTTTTGGTCTTTTTGGCCAAAACTTTTGATGGTAGGTAAAAGTCCATTCTGGGTGAAAAGAGAAAATTGGCTTTCTGAGAAATCACTCAGAGATGATAATACTCTGGTATGAAAGACCCAAACAGATGACCTGGCCTCCAGTCTAGCTGATGGTCTTTGCCACCCAGGATCAGATCATCCAATCTTAATTCCCATGGTTGTAAAGTGAGGCTAACAGTAACCTCAGGATTGTTAGGAAAACTAGATGAGATGTTGCATATGAAAGGCTTAGCATTCTGTCTCATATGCAGCAAATGTTCAGTAAATGTTGATTTTATTATCATTATGTATCTGTATGTGACTAAGTCTTTGGGTGTGCAGTTAACACACGTGGCTGCTAACTGGAAGGTTGGAGGTTCAGAAAAGAGGCCTAGCACTCTGCTTCTGAAAAATCAGCCATTGAAAACCCCATGGCGCCTAGTTTACTCCAGTGCACATGAGGTCCTCAGGAGTCAGAGTCAACTCGATGGTACCTGATGTGTTTTTTTCCCTTGTTTATGTGACTATGTGTTTAGCCAAGGGTATAAATAAAAACACCTAGTAAGCCACAGCCCTCTTAAAAAGAGGTTTTACTTTTCAACTTTTCGGCCTTGCAGGTGGCACACTCCCTGTTGCTTATCTCCACAAGCAATGGAATGACACCTGGTGCCGATAACTTGTGCTCCTGGGGAACAATATTGGGATCAGTGACTTTAGAAAATGCCAACTGGCCCTCCAGGATGTGAGGGCTTGTGAAGAGTGAGAGAGAACAGGAGATACAGAGCTGGTGTCTTGCTAAGGTGCCTGTTACCTGCCCTGTCTGAGAAATGCCTGCCTCTGACCACCCTCCAGAGCTGCGTTCACCTGTACTGACAGAGTTCGTAGATGAGGCTTCAGAAAGCAGAGGCTGGGGAATGTATTCAAGGGTGACATTTATGGAGGACTAACTCAGAGCCAGGTTCTGGCTGCATAGTTCACACCCATCATCCTTTAAGCCTCAAAACAACCCTGGGAAATGCAGGCCTCCAGGATAGTACAGGTTCTGTTCCAGACCACTACAATAAAGAAAAGTATCACAGTAAAGCGAGTCACCCATGTTTTTTGGTTTCTAAGTGCATGTAAAAATTATGTTTACACCGTACTGTACTTTATGAAGTATGCAGTAGCAGGAAAAAGTTTGAAATATTATGAGAATGACTAAAATGTAACACAGAGACGATAAGTGAGCACCTGCTGTTGGAAAAATGGTGCTGATAGACTTGCTTGACACAAGGTTGCCACAAGCCTTCAATTTGTAAATAAATAAATAAATAAATAAATAAATGCAGCCTCTGGGAAGCACAGCATGCCTGTAGGAAGTGTGTGCTGCTGTTCATCCCCTTTCACAGATCAGAAAACTGAGTCGTAGGGAATTTGAGTGGCTTGTTCTTTGTTACACAGCTCGTGAGGGGCAGAGTGCACACTTGGGCAGTTCAGCTCCCAGGTAGAATTCTTCACGTCTTCATACAGTGTGATGGCTGCTGAGGTCAGAGAGGAGGCCCACTCACGGCCCACCTCTTATGCACCCATCCACCCTGCCCTGAGCCCCATGCATTCAGTCACTCGGGGAACATTCTTGGTCGTCTGCCCTAAACATGTGGTACCACAAGGCCTGAAGGAAATACACAGGACGTCCCCACTGCTGCGCTGACAATCTAGATGAAGAAAAAGAAATAGAATACGTATAACCAGTTGCTGTCAGGTCGCTCCTGAGTCATGTGGCACCCTCATGCATGTCAGAGTAGAACTCTGCTTCATAGGGTTTTCAGTGGCTGATTTTTTAGAAGCAGGTTACTAAAGCCTGTTTTTCCAAGGCCTCTGGGTGGAATTGAACTGCCAGCCATGTGGTTAGTGGCTGAGTGTTGTCATCGTTTGCACTACCCAGGGACACCAGAACTCATACAGACTCCAAAAGCCACTGCTGTTGAATGGATTCTGACTCACAGCAACTCTAGAAGCCAGAGTAGAAATGCCCCATGGAGTTCCCAAGGCCGTAAATCTTAACAGAAGCAGACTGCCACATTTTTCTCCCACAGAGTAGCTGGTGGCTTCAAACCACCAGCCTTTTGATTGGCAGCTCGGTGTTTTAACCACTGGGCCCACCAGAGCTCCTTAGCATCCTACAGCATCCAGTAGGTAATTCTAAGGCCAGATATAAGTCAGGCATATGAGATAAAATGAGAGTGCAGCCCATGGGGACCACAATTGGCCCCACGAGCATCTCTGTGGATCTAGACTGTCTGTGGGCCCCCACCTTTCATCTGGTGAATGAAAAGCAGTTCACATAGAGTGACAGGCCTTGCTCACAAGTTGTGGGATTTTTGTGCAGTTTTTTATACTGTGGTTATGCAGGCCATTTGCAGGTTTTTATGAAATTTAATTTTTTGTTGGCTTGTTAATATTTTGCCTTTCTCCTTAGCCTTCTTCAGAGTTCTGATCAAGAAGTTGCAAGCAAAGTCAAAGCTGGCCTGAAGAGCCTCATCCCCATATTGGAAAAGACCAAAAGCACCAGCAGAGGAATGGAAACGCTTCTGGAAAAGCTGTGCATGTAGGCAGAAACTGTCAGGCCAAGATAGCCATTGCTCCGCTGTGGTCATAGGGCAAGAAGGAAGACTGTCTACCCTGCTGGTGACGTGGTGCTCTGTACATGTTTCTGCTTTCTATGAGAATCTATTTATAAAGTGGTTTTTAGAAGTGGTGGCCTTTCTTTAATTATACCCATCTCCTGTGTCAGGTGGGGTAGTCAGCAAATCTCAACATAAAGCAGTAATGTGGAAGATTTCCAATTGTACAGGGCACCAACTGGATATGTATAAAGTAGTGCATTGATTCAGGGGAGGAGTTGCCTGTGAGCAGTCTGGAAAGGCTTCATGGAAGAGGTGCCTTTGGTAGGCACCTCAAAGGGAAGAAGATTCTGTAAGGGAGAGGACGGTGTAGTGAGGTGAGAGCATCTGCCCTTGAACTGACCTTCAGGAGCCTTAGTACCTGAATGCATGGGGGTGGGGATACCCTGCAATCTGAAGCTGAAGAGTATCTGCATTCAATAGGGAGCCATGATGTGGTCTAGTGCTCTGGACCTTTCTCTAGTAGCCCAGTGGAATGAGACACCCAGTCAGGCCTGTCTCATGGTAGTCACTGCTGCGGGGGAATCATGGCACCTTCCCTGACCATACAGCAGGGTCCCAGGGCTGTTCCCGGCCAAAAAGCTACCGTACTGCACCCACCAGGGTGCACCCACCCCTTCCCAGAGTGCAAAATAGCTGATACCCTGTACCTCCTGGTATGAATTCTGCCTTCCTGCTCATCCTTCAGCCAGCTGGGCCTAAGGGTGGGGTGGGCAGCTGGGGGACTGGGGAGGGTGAGGAAGTGAATGGGAAAAGGCATCACTGGAGCTTGCTTTTGGTTAATGCCCAGGGAGTTTGTGTTTTGCATGTAAAGAAAGGGTCCTTTCAGAGATGGGAAAAACAATCTTTTTGTTTCATCTTTAGAACTAAAAATAATAACACGTGCAGGTATGAGTTGCTAACATCCTCAGTACATTCTGTGAAATACGATGTGTGATTTGGAAATTGTATGAACACCACATTAAAACATGGGAGCCTGCTTCCGGTCATCTTTGTTGCCACTGCTGCTCCTGCCACTGTTACCACAGCTGCTGATTGGATAGCAGCAGGGGAGCAGAGTGAGAGGAAGCAGGCGGGAAGGGAGTGGAGCATGCCCTGTCCCACCTGCTGCTCAGCCCGCCAAACAGCCGGAAGCAGCCGCTTCTGCCACCACCTGCCCACTGGACAAAGCCTGAAACCTGTGCCCAGAGCCATGTCCTCTGCCTTACCTGTCTATATTCCACTCATGGTCCAGGTTGTAAGAGTCTGGGTTTGGGTCTTTAAAACCACTAGGGAGAAATAAAAAAAGTGCTACTTTCCCTTTTTTTTCTTTTTCAAAAAAATCCTTATGGGACCATGGATGTATATGCAGTCAGGCCTTGTCCAAATGGACGTTTAGTAATGCATGCCTATACATAATTTTTTAAATTAGGGTACTTCAAAGCTTATAATAAAAACAACCATCCTGATCTACTCCTCCCCACCGTTAGCCTCCCAGAAGCAAATACTTGAAATTCTTTCAGCACCACTAAATTTCTAAATACACAGCTGTCTCTCGAGCTGTCAGGCTGGAGATACTTTCTTATGATTTCCGATAATAAAAAATACAGAGTTAGAACTTTTGCAGCCACCATTTTTCTGCTTCCGCTCTTTCCTTCCTCCCAGTGGAATTGCGTCATTTTAGATCAATCAGTGGTCTACATAAATTGTGAAGTATGGGGTCAGATCGTGAATTGTTGTTAAATTTCCTGTACCATTTTGTTTTTCCTGGAGTTAATACTTGCTTCATTTATTTTCATTTGCTTAGTTTTCTGCATTCCTATGACTAATTTCTTCCAGGCTTTTCATCAGAATTGCTTATGCTCTTCCCTACCATTGGCGTCCTCCCAACAGCCCATTTTCTCTTGTTCAGGCTGGTGATATTCCTGTGTTACTCTAGTGTCCAGCTTGTTCATGGGGCTTAGGTTAACCCTGACTGGTAGAGCCCAGTTCTTCCAAACAGTGCATCTTGAATGGGTTATAGATGGGCTGAGATTAACAACTTCCACTCTTGGGGCAGCTTGAGTGGGAGCAACCATGGGCTGGCTGTCCTGGCCTCTGCAGCCTCATCTGTTACTCCATTGGCCATGCAAAGATGTCCTTTATGTGCCTTCTGCAAGAGCTCTGGTGTGAACTCATCCTAGGGGCCCATTCTGTAAATCAGTGATGGACTTAGGAAGGAACCTGACCAGTGAAAGCAAGGTGGCCCTTTATTCCATGCTAGACTCAGAAGGAAGAGAGTATCTTCTCTGCCAGATGACATTTACCTGTGTAGACAGGTTGCCTGGAGCCATGGCACCATCTTGTAGCCCTGTGATGAAAGAAAAGACATGCTGAGAACAGCTGAGCACAGGGTGGAATGAATCTGAAACTTTGATGTGGGACTGCTGAATAAATCAACCCTTGCAGCTGCCCTTATTATTGTCAATTCTGAATCATGGCAACTCCATGTGACCCCATAAGGTTTCCTGGGTGATAATCTTTACGGAAGCAGATCACCAGGTCTTTCTCCCGTGGAGCTGCTGGGTGAGCTTGATGTGCCCCAGCCCTGGACTATGTTATGTGAGGGAGAAAACCCCTGTGTATCATTTAGGCCATTTGGACTTAAGTCTTTAAAACTTGTAGCCCAAAGTATGTTAACCTGACCTAGCTTCTAATGATTTCCACACTCTCTAACATGTCAAGCCCATCTCCACTTTCTCCCTAGACACTCGTCCCAGAGCCAGCAGGCTCTCTGGGTACCCTGAAGGAGTGCTGCAAAGCATCCACATCTCCAGGACCTGCCCCTTCATATTTCTCTCATATGGGAAGACCCTGTTCTAGGATCCCTTGCATGTCTCTTTCTTGCATAACAGTTGTGACACAACCTCTAGTAGCTGAGAAAGAATGCCCATGAGGTAAGATTTTGAAGACCTTGCAAGTCTAAATGTCTCCTCATTCCTATCCTTTCATACCCAGGTGCCTAGTTTGGCAGGGTATAGAATTCTAGTTTGAAATTAACCTTGCCACAGAATTCTGAAGGCTTTGATCAGAGTCACTGTGGAAGTCCAGTGCTATCCTCATCACATTCTTCTGTGTGTGGCCTTTTTTGAGGGCTGGGAACGGAGTCTCTGAAAGCTTCTGGAGCTTTTCTCATCCCCAGCCTTCTCATATTTCAGGGTCTTGTACACTGAAGCCTGTCATGTGTCTCATTTTCATGCAGGGCCTTTGATGATCCATTTTTGTTGGAAATGCCCTTCCATTCTGGGGAGATGTTTTTATGTTATTTCTGATTACTTCTCCCTCTGTTTTCTCTAACCTTCCTTTTTAGAACTCCTGTTACTCAGATTTTGAATGCTGGTTCCCTCCTCTGACTTTTCTTTTCTCCTGTTTTTTATACCTTTGGCTTTTGGTTTGGTCTTTGGATGAGATGTTTGTTTCACTTCCCTGCCAGCCTTTCCACTGACATGTTCCTTTCTTATTTCTGGAAGCAATATCTCCTGTGTCACGGGGATATATGTATGTGCGATTTTTGTCTTGCTTTGTCACTCGCTCTTCTGTTGTCTACTCCCATTGTTGGTTTTGGTCTCCTTATGTTTGAGGCTTTCCTGGAGAGATCTCTGCTCATGTATTTAAGATAACAGATTAGAAAGGGGTGGGCCCTCCTGTTCCTCCTGTTGACTGCTCCTTGTACAGATAACCAGGTGCAGATCCTGCTGTTTCATTGGGCTCCTCCAGGTGTCAGTATCTGCAGGTCTTTCGTCTGGGCCATTCAGTGCCTTGCAAAGAAACCCACCCAGCATCAGTACTCTGAGCTTTGCACTCCTGCAGGGTTTTAATTCAGCCTTCTTTTTGGCACAGTGCCTCTCCCCGTGCTCTCATGAGCCAGCATGGGTCCACAGCCTTCTGCAGAGTGGGGAGTGCTAGTCCTTCCTGCTTAGGAAGAGCTTAGACTAATTCCCCATATCCTACCCCAGGCCTCACTCTGGCCTCCCCCATCCCTAGCACCTCTGATGGCTGGAACTCTGGGGCTTCATGGTGAGAAGGTACTTCACTGCATGCACATGCTTGGTACTCAGCCTCCTCAGTTCTGCTCCAGTCTACATTGCTGCCTTTTCTTCCAGAAACTGGCTGCTATCACTCACCCACTGATGGCCTCTCTCCTGTTCACTTTGTCCTTGTGACCCTGTATAGATCTACTCTTACATTAGTGTGGTAGTTAAATTTGTGTGTCAACTTGTCTGGGCCTGGTTGAGTGGCTGGGCAGGTGGTCGTAGTTATTCCCCATGATGAGACTGGCAATCAACTCCATGGTGGAATCTGCCACAAACAACTGAGGAGCTGCCTTTGGGATGTGGGCTGCTTCCTGTATATGAGGAGAAGCCTTGGGGATAGTCTCTAGTTTATGGCACGCTTAGACTCTGCATGTAGCCCTGTCATTGTTCAGCAGCCTGCCATGCTCTGCTGACCTTGGGACTTAAAATGGACTTGAATTAATGGCCTCTTGTGTGATTTGGTAACATCAGGACTGTGCCATTTTATTGTCGACCTTGGGATTGTTAGCCTCAGCAGCCAGTAGCTGCCTGAGTGAAGAGATGCCACAAGCTTCAGTGGGCCGGGAGCAAGAGGCAGAGCTGAAGCCCAAGGTCGAGGGGCTTTCACCCAGCCCCTAGAGCCTGGCACACTTTGAACTTGGACTTAAAGCCTCTAAATTGTAAGAATAAACTCCTGTTTGTTAAGGCCATCCCATTTGTGGTATATTCTTGCCAGAGCAGCACTAGGTAACCAGAACAATTAGCCTTCCTGGAAGGAGCAGAGATGACCTCAGCAACACCCCATTTTTAAGCAGAAGTCTACAAATGGCTTTACCCAGACTGAAAACAGTCCCCTCTCAGCACTCCCCTCTGCTTTCTCCACTTAAATGGAGGGCTC